GCTGGGGGCGGCCGCCTCGGCGGGGGGGAGGGCCAGGAGGAAGGGGCCGAGGGTGATGAGGGCGGGGACCCTGACTAATGGGCTGGCGTCCTCTGTCAGTTGGCCCAGTAGATGCCTGGCGAGGGGGTGCGGATGGATGGCGCTGTGTGTGGTGGGGGAAGCGCACATGCGCGGGGTGTGGGGGCTGCTGAAACGGGCAGCAGATAATTGTTAGTGGGGAGTCGAGGTTGTTGGAGGGGGCAGCAGAAACCAACGGGCAAAACAGGGGTGCGACTCAATGCACTCCGACAACGAGGTTTCTGTTGCATGTGCCCAGACAGGTTTGCGCATGCACCCGCGCACACGCCATCGGGCGCCCTTCGTGGACGGCTGCCATGCAGCTGCAAATGTACACGGCATATCCCCTGGGTTTGCTTATCGACATATACATATTCATACATATATGAATACATACATACATTTATACAATACAACAGCAGGAGCCACACATATACAACATATGTATGTATATACATACATACAACAGAAGCAAAACCCACCGGGTGCAGGCCCTCTCCTCCTCGGTCAGGTCATCAATCTGCGACACCACCCGCAGCAGCAGCGGCGCCGCGGCGGCCCGCACATTCCAATGGGAGTCGCCCGCCAGCGCCTCGAGGGCGGAAGGCACGAAGGCGGCGCGGCGCGCGGGGCCGAGGCGGCGCAGGAGCGGCGGCAGCGCCGCAGCCGCGACCTGGCAGGGGTTGAGTCGGCGGGCCGGGGTGCGGCTCAAAATTGTGACTTTGAAAATCGAATTCGAGTGCGCGGGGCGCGTGCCCAGCGTGCGCTGCAGCTGGCTGGTATGAGATGCAGGGTGGTGCCGCGGTGACGCGCGGTCTGCTCAAGGCTGTCAAGAAGCAAGCCGCTGCGCAAGCAGCGGCCGCTGTTGCCGCCTCGGGTGGGGGGGGAGGCCGCTCGTCCGTGCCCCCCCGCGCGCCCGTGCAATGCAGCGATCGCAGCGGCCTTGCGGAGCCGCGCGGCGCGCGGCTGCCCGTCCCATTAGCCCGGCTGCTAAACCGGTCCAACCAGCTGTTCCCAGTGGCGACAAGGGCCGCCGAGAGCCGCTGATGTTTGTCCGAGCAGCCATTGTGTGATAGGAATGCCCCTGTATCAATCAAACCGTACTCCAGCATGTGCCCGACGCGCGACCAGGTCACACGAGTGGTACACGAAACGTAAGCGCCCGCTTGCGCCCACCTCGCGCACGTCGTGGCTGTCGTGCTTTACGAGGTTGAGGAACGTTGGCACGAGGAACGGCGCCAGCTGGTCGACCCCCAGGGGGCTGCCCTCGCGCCCCGCGAGCACGCGCACGGCCAGCGCGAGCGCCTGGCACGCGCCCTGCGCGCCGTGTCAGATCCCGTGGCGTGCACAGGGGTTTTTCCAGGTTTATCAAAGGTTGTTGTGGTTCCAGGGCGCGTTCCGGAAGGTGGGCGTGAGGCGCGGACGGTCAGAATGCCACGGGCGCGCCTTGTGAGCATGTCCAGGCACAAGAGCGGATCTCAGGGAGGGGTGTACACTCACATGCACGTGCGTGTGCACCCCTCCCTGCTACACAGGGAGGGCATGCGCACACACCCGCGTGCATGTGCGTGTGCGCATGCCCTCCCTATGTAGCTGAAGCATGATCATCATTGATGAACGCGTGCGCCATCAACTTCACGCGCTGTCACCACGATAGGCCGCGAGCGCGCGTGGCCTATCCTGCCCACCTCTTCCCGCAGCACTGCCTCAGGCACAGAGCAGAGGCGGGCGATCCCCGACGAGAGCGCCTCTGCGGCCGCGTCGGCGCCGCTGGCGGCGGCGAGCAAGTGGATGACCTCGCCCGCGGCTGCGACAGCTGCCTCCTGGTTCTGTTGGTCGGGCAGGGTTTAGGGCAGGGAATCGAGCGTGAGAAACGGGCAAGACGGCGCCCATGTTTGTCTGTGGACCTCCCGACATCCTGAAGCACCGTGAGTGCACCTCAACCGCTTGTTCAACCCGCCCTCGGGCCTTCTGGCTGTTCCGCGAGCCCCTGTGTCGAGGGGCCGCCCATTCAACCGCGCATTGACCTGGCGTCACGTGGACGCAGGACCCCCCAGACAGCAGACTCGCTATGAGCCACTTCATCATATCTTATCAGTCATTTCATTCTTTGGCTCCAATCAGGGGTCAAGACCCACATCCGGGAGTCACCTTCCATCACCCGCCCACGTATGGACGTCACCAACCATCGCAAGGCCACACCAGAGGTCGCCCGCCATCACCCACCTCCAAATCAGCATCCAGCAGCAGCGGCTCCAGCCCCTGCCACACATCTCCCAGGTCGGCCGCCGCCGCGCCGCCGCCCTCCGCCAGCCGTGCGGCTGCAAACATTTGGGAGTCCAGGGCCCGGGAGTGCGTCAGCACCTGGCTCGCGCTTTGAGTGCAGGCTCGCAATTTTTGCGCTCGGGCGGCCGCCGCCGCCGCCGCCGCTGTCGCCGTCGCCGCAGCGGCGGCAGCGGTAGCCGCAGCAGCAGCAGGAGCAGCAGCAGCAGCAGCAGCAGCAGCAGCAGCAGCAGCAGCAGCAGCAGCAGCAGCGGCATCAGCGGCATCAGCAGCAGCAGCCGCCGCAGCGGCAGCAGCGGCCGCAGCGGCAGCAGCGGCATCAGCAACCGCAGCGGCAGCAGCGGCCGCAGCGGCAGCAGCGGCAGCAGCGGCAGCAGCAGCAGCAGCAGCAGCAGCAGCGGCAGCAGCAGGCAGCGGCGTGCGTGGGCCTCACCGACAGCGGCGACCTGCCGCAGTGCGGCTGCGCGCACGTCGGCGTAGGGGTCTTTGAGGAGCGCCCTGAGGAGAGGTAGCACGTTGGAGCCGACCACGGCGGGCAGAAGGGTCTTAACCGCAGCAGAGATGGCCTGCGTTCGGGCATTGTGGTTTGATAAAACGGTGCGCTGTCGGCTGGGGGCGGAGCGCATGCGTTGTTGCGGGCCGAGGCGGGGCGGCGGGCAGTCTCACGCGAGCGCGGCTGCGCCAGACAGCTGCCGGGAGGGCTCGAGGGCCGGCTGCTGACGCGGGCGGCGCGGAGTCGGCGCCGTGAGCGCTGCAACCGGCCGGGGGCGGGCGACCCGCTCTCCCCCACGCCCCCCACCCGCACGCCTCCCCGCCGCCTTCCCCCCCCCCCCCTTGGAGCGCGCACCCCGCTCCACGAGAGCCTCTGCAGGGGGTTGTCGCTGACGCAGTACTTCGTAATCGCCACCAGCGGCGGCAGGTCCTCCCACGGCTGTGAGGATTGTGAGGTTTGGGGGGGGACGGCTCGGCGCTCTGGTCGGGACGCAGCATGCCATGGAGGGAAGCGGCCTCAGGCGCTGGAACGGACATGCGTTTCGCTCCACGCGCCCGGCCATGCTGCTTGGTGACATTTTGAAACAGCAACTTCCGTGTGCACTGACAGAATGCGCGCGGCCGTGGCTTGCCGCGTCCGCGCAGCAGCGAGGGCTGTGCGCCTCAGCAGTTGGGGCACTGCATCAGCGCATGGGACGTGGTGCGTCCGCTGCTGGCACTGTGTTGCCCTGCCCAGGCCGGCGCTACATGCCAGTGCATGGGTAAACTGGAGCATCTTGCACCACTCACATCATACAACGGGGTTTCAAACGTTTCCACGACTGTGCCATCGTCCGCCATGATCTGCAAGCTCTCGGGGACTTGATTACAAATATTCAATGACTAAAGGATTTCACAGACCCTGCAGGACGCCTCGTTGCGATTGTCACCCGGGTGACAATCGCGTTGCTGGGCGAGGCTACGGAGGAGAGGAACGCAGGGGGCTGATCGTTCATCGAGTTCAACAAAACGGTAGATCTTCACGCTTGAAAGTAACATGCACAGCACACACCCACCTGCGGGGTCCACCGTGTCCGGTACTGCCTGGTGAGTGACGGGGCAGGTGCTGCGGCGGGCACCTCAGGGCGCGCACCGCCACACGCAGGAATGGACTGTCGGCTGTGCTGAGTTGATTGCTGCATGCAGGAAACAACGTTGCGCCAAAGCATCACCGCTGATGACAACAGCTGGTCTACAAGTCAGGCTTCTGCAGCTGCCATACGTGGTGTTGAATCTGAATGGCAGTGGCGGTCATGGTGGTGGCTACTGCATCAGGCTTCTCAAGTTGAGTGGTAAACCTTGCCCCCAAGCACCAACTGCACAACCAACTGCAACCCCCAACGCGTATGTGCATCATCCAGCGCCACAATCACGTGCATGTGCACGTGCTCCCATGTGAGCAAAATCGCAGTACAATCGGCTTTCACCCAAATCGTGGCAGCTTCCTCTGGAACAGGCGCGCCATGAACCCGCCCCCGCTCCCTCCGCCGCCCCCGCCGCCGTCCCCGCCCTGCGCGCTAGCTGCAGCAGCAGCAGACGGCATACCACCAGGGCAGCCGCTTTGGACGCTCATGGCGCTCGCGACACTCCCACTGGCCTGCCCAGTCGCCCCAGTCCCCGGGCCCTCCACCTGCATGGGCGCCGCCGAGTCCTGTTGCTGTCCCAGATTGAATCCAAACGTCAAGGGGCCCTGAGGAGCCTGCGGCGGCGCCGCCGCCCGCATCATCGCTGCCGCCCCGCCCACCGGTGGCGGCGCTGCTGGCAGGCTTGCCACCGCCATCGGGGCCGCCATGTGGCCCTCGGTCATGTGAATCCCCGCAGTGGCCGGCAGCGGCGGCTGCAGCGGCGGCAGAGGCGGGAGGCCGCGCGGCCGCTCCCCAAACGCGCGGCCTCCCATCCCAAAATGCTGCTGCTGCTGCTGCTCGAACGGCAGGCCCCCCTCCTGCCGCTGCTGCTGCTGCTGCTGCTGCTGCTGCTGCTGCTGCTGCTGCTGCTGCTGCTGCTGCTGCTGCTGCTGTTGCAGTTGTTGCTGCTGGTCCGGCCAAAGGGGCACCGTCGGCCCCGCCGGCGCCAGCCGGGCCTGCGACATCCTCTGCTGCGCCTCCGCGTTCGCCTGCTGCGCCGCCCGCATTATCATCATCGCCTGCTGCTGCTGCGTAGCGGCCGCGGGGTGGGGCGGTTGTGTTGCGGCATGCTGCTGCTGTCCCGCCTGGGGCAGCTGTGCGGCGGTGATGAGGCCGATGTTGAGGGCATGCAGCTGCGCCTGGCGCAGGAGCCAGGGGTCGTAGGCCAGATCCTGGGCGTTTGAATTCAAAAGAGGCGAGAAGGGTTGGTCGAGCAGTCAACGTGGTCAAACGTCTGCGAGCGGATTCCGGGGGCTGGAGGACGAGCAGCACTCAGGACGACGCCCGATCTGCGCGGCAGCTATGTCGCGCCTGATTGTGCCTGGTGCACGCATGCGCAGCAACCTGCCTGGCAGCTGTTTGCAGAGCTCTCAGCAATCGGTCTGGCCGCGCGAGCGTTCGTGTTTTCACCGCCACCCGTCGCCACTCCCTGCGCCCACTGACCTGCAGCCGCGTGCGGCGGGCGGCGTCGCGCTGCAGCAGCCCGTCGATGCGCGCCGCGCACTCCGGGGAAACGCTGGGCGGCAGCGGGCGGCGGGCGCCGCGGAGGACGTTCTGAATGGTGCGGGACAGGCTGCTGCCCCCGGGGTCCTCAAAAGGGTACACCTGGGGGAGCAGATTGTTAGGCCAGATGCGCAGCGGATGCGCGCAAAGTCAAGTCAAGCAAGTGTAATGGGTACGCTGTCCAACAGCCATGTTGATCGACTTCTTGTTGTGGGTACAGGCATGGTGTGGATGGCTCTTGAGACGACGCTTTCGAGACGGGCCTCAGGAAGCGGCAAATCTGCCGTCGCAACGCCCGCGTTGCATCGCCCCTGCAACAGCCGCAGCGCTTGCTGCTGCTTGCGGGACCCCCCGCACGGGGCACCTCAACTGCACACATCTCATTTACAACGACAGTGCGCTGGACCCAGACAACAAACAGAGGCATCCTTTCATGAGTGCGCTCGCAATGACCCCCCCCCCAAAAGCTGCCTGCCAGCGCACCCACCCCGGTGATTAGGAGGTACAGCAGCACGCCGCACGCCCACGCATCCACCGCCGACGCGTCGTACGGCGGAGGCTGCCTGCCGGTGTCCGCGGCGCCGGCGCCGGCGTCCTGCCCGGCCGCAACGAGGGGGCCGCGCGGGGCGGTGGCGCCGGCGCTTGTGCCTCGGACCAGCATCTCTGCTTGGGTGCGGCGAAGGTGACGGCGTGCTGACATTAGTTGGTGTCAGCAGGGCAGAAGCGGGACCACGCACGACATGCGCATCACCTCACTTATTGAACAATGGTCAGATGCCCATGCGCATCAGTGATGTGCAGCGGCTTTGCTCGCCTGGGGGCATGTAGTCTGGCCTGCAGTGCAAGTGCAAAGAGTGTAGCAGGGTTTTAGCAAGATGCAAGTGCAGGACGTTAGCAGAATGCGGGAGACAATGTGGCTTGGCAGCGTTCCCTTTGAACAAGGGGGGCAGGGAGAGGCCATCAAAGCCGCGGATTGCTATTGCTGAGGCAAGCTGGCAGATAGATAGATAAATTACTCATTCCATAGCATCACTGCCATCGGCCTCGCGCTCATCAGAGCTGGCAGCGGGCAACAACAGCTCCAGTCACAGGGATCAAGCCCTCAGCTGATTAGACGTCGCGCGGGCAACGGTGACTCACGTGCCTGTGGGGTGAGGACGATTCAAAGGCGCACGAGCCAGGCAATTGAGGGTTGAGCAATTTGAAGAGGACTGAGCAGTAGCACCAGCAAGACACACTGTCAAGCCTCTGAGTGGCAACTTGTCCAAGTTGTTCCTCACCTACTCCGAGGGTCTTGACGCTTTCTAGGTGCTTCGCCAGGCCAAAATCGATCAGCTGCGGCGTGGCCGATCGATGCAACAGGCAGGGCAAGCGGTGCAATCAACAGTCAGCTGCGGTGCGGCCGACGCGGCAGAGCAAGCGGCGCAATGCAAGAGTGGCGCGGATGGAAGCATCCGTCGGCGGCCACGCACCATCGGCAGGCGGCTGGGCACCAGACAAGGTGGCGAACCTGCTCGCTCGCGCCGTGATCGCAGCACCTCCACAAGGGCTCGCTTTCCAACCACCACCGGCATTCGGCATTGCGTCGGCACGACAGCAACGCGCTCCCCACTGGATCGCGTGCTCCAGGCAGCACGACCCCACCAACAGGCACGCGGCTCGCCGCACAGGACCTCGACGCGTGTTCCGCTCACTCGATCCAACACCTCGCCCCATGCACAGGCTGCGGCCGTGCAGGCCGTACGCCCCACAGCTTGTTTTCACGCGCATCAGTCGAGTCATTTATCGTGCCGCCATCCAGAACATCACGACACACCTTGAGCTTGTGGGTGCGCCGCTCCACCATGCAGTTTTCTGGCTTTATGTCGCGGTGGCAGAACCCCGCCTTGTGTACGTGCAGGACCGCGCGCAGCAGCTGCACAAAGTAGAACGCCGCCATCGGCTCCGACATCTGGTTGTGGTGGGAAGTGATGGCGGGGAACGATAGTATGTATGGTAAGGATGGATTCTGAAAGACGTGTTCGTGGCCGTGCTGTTCGCCCCTAGCTCAGGCGCACGCGGCGGGGCTGCCGCCCTGCGGCGGCCCTGCCGCAGGGCCTGCCTTCGGCCTGGGTTGTTGGCGGCCGCGTCACTGCCTCAGCGTCACCAGAGGTACTGAGGCCGCCCGCACGAGGAGACGGACGCGACGGCGCCCCCCTCCCCCCTCCCACAGGCTCTCGCTGCGGAGCCC